CCTTGGGAGGGGGGGCGGGAGGGTGTGTGTGGCCAAGGTGGGTGCGGCCTACTGGGTGGGCATGGATGGAGTGGGTGTGGCCTACTGGGTGCGCATGGCCAGCTCTACATCGTTCGCGTCAAGGGTGCCTGTGGGGGCCTGGGCAGGAGTGGGACAGATCTGAGGGTCTCTGGCAGAAGGGGGTGGGACTGGGGCAAGCACCAAGGCATGGTCCATTTCTTCATTCCTCACAAAGGGTGACACCTCCCCAGCATGCACCCAGGGGGCGGGGCCAATGCGGCAGGGGCTGGTTCCTCGCTGTTTCTAGACGGCCTTGTGGAACTAAGACTGAATGCGCTTCAGCATAGATGGCCACCACAAAATTGTACATTGGCTCCTGGCCGGCCTGGGCCAGGGCCAAGGCAGCGGGGGCCGTTCCCTCACTGTTTCCAGGATGGCTTCGTGGGCCACATGAAAGCACTTCGTGGGCCGCATCCGGCCCCTGGGCCTTGCGTTTGACATGTCTGGAGTAAAGGAAGATTCTGTCACCGGAAAGCAGTACAAAACTTGAAAAAGAAGAGTCTTATTGCATTAGAGCAAAAACCAGGTGTATCTGACAGACATGAATGTGATCATAGCAATGTTAAAGTAGGACGAGATCTTGAATTGTCTGAGTTTTCAATAACCACTTTTGTTATTTTGCTTTCTATAATTATTCTGTGACTTTGTTAACCATAAATTTAAATTATAAATATATTCTTTTTATCATTTACCATAATGCATACTGTAAACATATAAAAATGTATCTTTGAATTTTTTCATTGTTTATTACTATCAAGTTGGAACCAATTACCATATTTTCCATAGAAATATCACTTCAAATAGTGTGATTTTTTTTAAAAAAAAAATGCAACCTTTTGTGAGATTCATGAACCAGACTAATCGAGACTGATCTGTAAGTGTGGATTTAACTTTTAAAACTCAGAGTAGCCCATTATATTCACGATTCACATTTGATCACGAAACCTTAGATTATAAAACGTGCAAAGCATTTTGGATTCAAAGCAGCAGCCCTGAGTGTTGCAAGTATGAGAGAGAGAAAAAAAACCATGTGTTTTCAGAGTTTCTTTGAAAGTGGGTGCTTTGAGCAGACATCATTTCATTTATTCATTTTCATTTATTCAATTTGTATCCCGCCCTTCTCCCGAGGGACTCAGGGCGGCTCACAACATTTTTTAAAACAAAAACAAACCCACAATCCCCGCCGAATAAAACCAATTAAAACCCAAATATTCTAAGTTGTGATATTTAAAATTTTCTAAAAATGAACCCGATTTAAAAATCCTCCCTAGGCCAGGCCCGCTT